GAGGCTAGGTGGCAAATGGTAAAACCAAGGTTGGGCATTGCTGGAGGAGTTTTATTCAAGGCGAACTGTCAAGGGGTCCCCATTATAACCCAACCGCGTAAGGAACGCAAAATCCGAGAACATAACACCGATATGACGGAAACTAGGGCGGCAAGAGTGGAACAAAACACTAGGAAAAAGGCCAAGCCTTCCACCCTTTACCAAGTACATAGATGCATTAAGATAACAAGATAATATAGTGATATCCCAACAATAAACAATGTTCCAACAAGGAACGATCTCCAAACTTCACCTGCAACTAGCAACGCTATAAGAGGGCTGAGCAAAGCGGTAACATAGCCAATCAACGGTTTGCTAGGATATGGTGGGTTAGAGGTTTGACATGGCCATTTGGGAGGCATGATAAGCAAGTGGTAGGCATCATAGCATAGGCATAGCAAAAGAGCGAGCATCTAGCAAGCAAAGATAGAAGTGATTTCGAGGTTATGATCATCTTGCCTGCAAAGTTGTCAAAGTTGACTTGATCCTCGTAAGCAAACTCAATGGGCTCCTCATTCATGAACTCATCTCCCGGCTCTACCCAAACAAGACAAACAAGCAAAAGGAACACAATCAACCACGTGCAATGCTCAAACAACATGATGCAAACATGGTATGCTACGCGGGATGCGGTATGTGATGCATATGCAAGATTTGATAAGGAATGATTGAACCTGGCCTCAACTTGGAAATCCAAGAGTGCCACTGGAAAGGTGAGGTGATTTCGGTGGAAATCGATATAAAGATCACCGGAATCGGATGCACGGTTTGGAAATGGCAAGCAAAACAAATATGGCACCGGTCTGTGATAATCAGCAAGTAGCCATCGAAAAGCATCAAGATAATTATGCTACAGCACTCAAACTGTGACGCCCCGAGACCGATGCTCGAGAAGACTTCCATGTGTTCCGGGTTTCGCCATGTGTTTCATTTGTGCCCGCCCTTTTATTTGTGCATTGCATCATATCATCATGTCATCATGTCATAAGTCTTTTGCATCTCACTAAATAAATTGCATGGATTTTTGGTCCATTTAAATCGAGGGAATTCACATGGTGATTCTCTTTATAACATATCCTCCCGATATTAGGGAGCTATTATAAATATTTCCATTCTTGTGGAGTTACCGTGACACACTTGCAATGTAACTCTCAAGTTTTTTCTGCTTCGAGTTGCTCATCAAACCTTGCCATATTTTCTCTCATCATTTTCCGGAGCTCCACCAAAAATCCGAACATTTTTGGACCTTCCTAACCCTCACTTCCTGTTTGAACCATTTGAATTCAAATCAAATGAGTGTGAATTTTAAACTTTGAAAAAATGGCCACTCCATTTTTCTTGGATCATACACATTTTTGCGAGTCCGGGAATATTATCCCCATGCCCAGATTCCACCCTTTCCTCCTCTTTCTTTTCTTTCTCTATTCTATTTTGTTTTTAAATGGAAAAGGAGAGTTTAAGAGATGAGAGAGGGAGTGAAGAGCCCAGCGTCCCTGCCAGCTCTACCAGGCCGGACAACCAGCGCCCTCCACCGCTTCGGCCCATTTTCCTAAGGCCCAGTCTCCTTTCCTAACCCTAGCCTTCCTGAGCCCGTTCCCTCGATGCCCATCCCTCTCCCTCTCGATCTCTCCCAGCGCCGCCAGGGAGACCGCTGCCCGACTCCTCTCCCAATCCCATCTCCTCCTCGCTTCCCTTTCACAGCCACCCTTCTCCCATGATCCCCTCCCTCTCCTCTCGATCTCGCACCTGCACCCGATGCCCTCGCGCACCCTGGCCATCCTCCTGCGCCCTTGTTCTCGCGAGCAGGGAACCCCGAGGATGCGAGCCGCCCTCCTCTACCAACCTGAGCCGCCCCCTTCCTCTTCAGGCGGCCATGGAGCCCCGCCGCCGGCGCCCCGCAGCCGCCGCCGCTCTGCCGCCGTGCTGCGCCCCACCTTCATGGCCATCGTGCCCCTGCCGAACCTCCCGGTGACCCGCATCTTGTCCGGTGGCTCCGGCGTGCCTGCGCCACCTCGAGCGCCCAGTAGGAGCCTCGCGCCGCTCGCTCCCTTCGTCATCTGCATTGCCGGAGTTCGCCGGAGCCCCAGCATCGATCCCCAGCGTCGTCACCTTCCTGCCTCCATGGCCGGCCTCTCCGAGAGCTTGGCAAGAACCGCATCCTTCCACCCCGATGGCGCCCAAGGCTCCATGTCGCCATGGCCTTTGCTGGTATTATGTTGTTGCTCCACACACGCCCCTGCTAGTTGCTTCGACTCTTTGCCCGAGCTTCGTTTTTTGTCATGGACGTGGGGTAGCTGTTGAACCTCGCCATGGTTCTGTCCAACGCCGCAAGTCCGACGCCAAGACCACCTCAAGTTCGGCTACATGTAACACCGTGTACAACTACATATCCGGGATGCGTCAAGTACCCCACCGTCAAGACCGGGACCGCCCGGAGACCACGGATCTGTGAGGTCGCACAACCATCGCCGTGGATCCGACAAGTTCGCGAGTACCACTACCTCCCACGACGACCTTGTACAACTACCGTCGCAAGAACCGAGACCGGCAAGTCCGAAGACCCAAGTACCATGACGCCAAGTACCCCTTCGGATCGCCAAGGTGGATCACGAACGTTGACAAGGTTCCGATAAGACCATCGACATGTACGACCTACTCCGTGAATGTGTACCACTACCGTCGCTCGAACGTTTACAGAACATGTACCCTCGACCCTCGAAGACCCATGGACGGCAAGTTCCTTGTTGACCCCGAACACCTACGAAGTGTGAACATCTACGAAGCGAGAACGACTACTTCCACTACCGCCGTCGCGAGAACGCCTACTTCCCTCTACGAATGAGAGCCGTCCCCTTTGCACGCTCCGAAGGTATAACCCCGAGATGACGTCCGTGAACGAATGCTTGCGATGTTTGAGATGCACCTGTTGTCTGCACCGTGTCCGAGTTGTCACTTGCTCGGTCCTCCTCGTTTGCCGCTAACCCGTGGGAATCCGGTAGGAGCACCCCACCGTTTATCGCATGACCCGCGTCCGCACACTTCTCCTTTGCATCGGTATCTCAATCGAGTTACCGAGAACCAGAACGTTGCCGTGGCACCGTTTCATTATCGTTGCTGTGGCACCCCTTTTGTTTCCGCCACGATGACAAATGCTTCTTAATGCTCTTGTCAACTTTTAATAAAATTGCATAAACTTGAACATGCCATCCGCATCATGTTAACAACTTTATATTTAAAATTGTTGTTGCACCAAATTGATAAATGCATATGGGGATTTACCGGATTTGTTGTTGGTTATATCCGGCTGCATTTAAATTATTAGATGGTATAGTTTTGTTATGCTTCACCTCTTGCCATATTAACCAACATTTAATATTGTTGGGTACCTAACCGGGAGAGAACTAAATAATTAATGTGGTGTTCCGTCAATATGCAACTCGTTGCATATTGAGCTCCACTTAATTTATAGAATTTGCTTGTGCATTTTGCCATGCCATGCTTCATTAAACCGGACATGCATCATACTTGATTGTGCATCATGCCATGCTTATGTGGTGGTTGTTTACTATGTTGTTTGCTTCTTTCCGGTGTTGCTTCTTCGGGTTAGTTCCAATAATGTCGCGTTTGTGAGGATCCGTTCGACTACGTCCATTTGTTCTTCTTCATGGACTCGTTCTTCTTCCTTGCGGGATCTCAGGCAAGATGACCATATCCTCGAAATCACTTCTATCTTTGCTTGCCAGTTGCTCGCTCTTTTGCTATGCCTATGTTGCGATACCTACCACTTGCTTTTCATGCCTCCCATATTGCTAAGCCAAGCCTCTAACCAACCTTGTCCTAGCATAACCATTGTTTGGCTATGTTACCGCTTTGCTCAGCCCCTCTTATAGCGTTGTTAGTTGCAGGTGAAGATTGGAGCTTGTTTCGTGTTGGAACATGGATATATTTTGTTGGGATATCACAATATCTCTTATTTAATTAATGCATCTATATACTTGGTAAAGGGTGGAAGGCTCGGCCTTATGCCTGGTGTTTTGTTCCACTCTTGCCGCCCTAGTTTCCGTCATGTCGGTGTTATGTTCCCGGATTTTTGCGTTCCTTACGCGGTTGGGTTATAATGGGAACCCCTTGACAGTTCGCTTTGAATAAAACTCCTCCAGCAAGGCTCAACCTTGGTTTTACCGTTTGCCACCTAGCCTTTTTTCCCTTGGGAGTCGCGCATCCCGAGGGTCATCTTTATTTTAAACCCCCCGGGCCAGTGCTTGTCTAAGTGTTGGTCCAAACTAGAGCCCCTTGCAGCGCCACCTCGGGGAAACTCGAGGGCCGGTTTTAGTTGTACGGATTGCTTATCCGGTGTTGCCCTGAGAACGAGATATGTGCAGCTCTTATCGGGATGTCGGCGCATCGGGTGGTCTTGCTGGACTTGTTTTACCATTGTCGAGGATGTCTTGTAACCGGGATTCTGAGCCTGATCGGGTCTTCCCGCTAGAAGGAATATCCTTCGTTGACCGTGAGAGCTTGTGATGGGCTAAGTTGGGACACCCCTACAGGGATTTGAACTTTCGAAAGCCGTGCCCACGGTTATGGGCAGATGGGAATTTGTTAATGTCTGGTTGTAGAAAACCTGAAGTTGACCTTAGTTAAAATACATCAACCGCGTGTGTAACCGTGATGGTCTCTTTCCGGTGGAGTCCGGGAAGTGAACACGGTGTTGGAGTAATGCTTGAAGCAGGTTGTTCTAGGATCACTTCTTGATCATAGTTGTTCGACCGTGCTTTGCCTTCTCTTCTCGCTCTCTTTTGCGAATATGTTAGCCACCATATATGCTAGTCGCTTGCTGCAGCTCCACCTCATACCTTTTACCTTACCCATAAGCTTAAATAGTCTTGATCGTGAGGGTGTGAGATTGCTGAGTCCCCGTGACTCACAAATACTTCCAAAACCAGTTTGCAGGTGCCGATGTTACCGAGCAGGTGACGCAACCAAGCTCAAGGAGGAGCTCGATGAAGATTTTGTCCTTTATGTTGTTTCTTTCTAGTTGATCAGTAGTGGAGCCCAGTTGGGGTCGATCGGGGATCTGTGTAGCATTTGGGGTAGTCTTCTTTTATTTTGGTTCCGTAGTCGGACCTTGTGTGTATCTGGATGATGTAATGCTTTATTCATGTAATTGTGTGAAGTGGCAATTGTAAGCCAACTATGTATCTTTCCCCTTATTGTAGTACATGGGTTGTGTGAAGATTACCTCACTTGCGACATTACTTTCAATGCGGTTATGCCTCCAAGTCGTGCTTCGACACGTGGGAGATATAGCCGCATCGAGGGCGTTACACAAACATGACAAAAAAATACATGGCAGGGATCCACTCATGATGCTTGACAAAAGATGAACACTGAGCTACGGCCAATTCATCCATTAACAGGTTCAAACAAGCATGGCTAGAGTGCAAATGATAACAGTTTCAGACTTAGTGAAATTTACACAAGTCTAGAATTTAACATCAGGTAGCACACTTTAGAGCATGAAAACTACATGCTACAGAAACTTAACATGGCAAACCAAGGCATGGCATGAAGCTACTCAAAGCACTTAACAAAAGTCCCTTAGTGACCTTGAGCCAAAAGGGATCAGAAAATACAATTGCAAGCATGTGAACATGGCAAAAACATAATCAGATTACAGACTTAGTGAAAAACTGGAGCATGCAAATCAGTTAACGAGTAGTCATGTTCACGAGCTTGATGCACTCACTACAGAGCATGGCATGACAAACTAAGCATACACCCATCAAGAATACATGTCCTAGAAGCTAGACATGGTAAGAACAACAACATAGCATGCACGGATCAATAGCAACATCCTCGGCAAAATCGCTAACAAGTCAACAATCTGCCAGGATTCACGAAATAGCAAAAGTAGATGTCGATTGACTCAAGCTAGGGTGCTCCATAAATGCAAAAAAAGACATGGATGGATAGAGCACCACAATTTTAACAAATCATCCTTACTGATCATCCTCAAAAGAGGCACGGATCACTAGTAAACAACATGAACATATGGCATAATGACAAAATCAGGACAAGGACTTGGTGAATTTCTAAGTCCCTGAAAATAGCATTACCGAGTATGCTACTTTGCAAGCTTGTGATAGTCACCACACATATCACAAAAATACATGGTAAGCACCTCTGTAAAGATGGCATAGCATATAACAAAACTCATGTAGAGCTCAGGAGCATATCATGCACTCATTAATCATGGCAAAAATGACAAATATCTATTTGATGAAACAGATCTGGCAATTATATCACATAGCCCTCTTCCAATAGCATTTTGGGCCTCAATATGAGCTCAAATGAAAATGATGCAATGAGATGAAATGATGTACTCATTGAGACGAACATTTTGATATGCTACACACGCAAATCGGAGCTACGGATGCGGAGTTACGACATGATGAAAATCGCAAAAAAACTAGGGTTTCGGGGGATAAAAGTCAACCGGGTGATACTCCAGATCCAGATCTGAATCTGCGCGGATTACGAGGTTCGTCGAGGAAGAAGAAGATCGCTGGAGGAGCTTCGCGCCGGAACTTGGCCGGAGGGGAGGAAGCCGGCGAGGTGATGGGGGAAAACGGTGAGGGCCCGCGGCGGCGCGGCGAGGGCGGACATGGCGCCGGCTGGAGCGGGCGGTGGAGGGACGCGGCAGCCGGTCGGGGCGGCGCGCCGGAGTTGGTGCGGTGGCCGGCGCGGCGACCCTGGCGGCGGAGCCGGTGGAAGGAGGCGGCGGCGCTCTCGAGATGGGCCGCGGGGGCCGGCGATGGGCTTCCCGGGCCCTGGCGGAGCGGCGAACTGGGGACCGGGCAGCGGCCAATCACGCTGCGACACGTGGCGGCGGCGGTGGATTCGGACGTGTCTGACCGAACGGAAAAGTGTCCGGCGGCGCGTGGAGAGGGAGGGGACTAGGGTTTCGTCCGGATTTCGGGGAAGGGATCTATATATAGAGGTATAGGGAGCTAGGAAGCTCCAAATGGAGTGCAGTTTTCGGCCACGCGATCGTGATCGAACGCTCTAGATTATGGAGAGGGTTTAGGTGGGTTTTGAGCCAAATTCGAAGGGTGTTGGGATGCAACACAAACGAGGCCTTCTTGGTCCCTCGGTTAACCGTTGGAGTATCAAACTAAGTCCAAATGGCACGAAACTTGACAGGCGGTCTACCGGTAGTAAACCAAGGCCGCATGGCAAGTCTCGGCCCAATCCAGAAATGTCTAACCCCCACACACGAAAAGAGGTAGAAAGGACCACCGGAGGAGATAGGAGCGCCGGAATGCAAAACGGGCAATGGGGAAAATGCTCGGATGCATGAGACGAACACTTATGCAAATGCAATGCACATGATGACATGATATGAGATGCATGACAAAGGCAACAACACATGGAGACAAAAACCCGAAC